TTTTTTTTTGGTGTCAGGAATTGAACTCAGGACCCTGTGCTTGCTTGCCAGGCAGGTGCTTGTGCTGCTGAGCTATAACCCTGGCCCCTAGTTTCATTCTTACTGATTATTAGAGCCTGAGTTTAGATTAATGCAGTTTGTAAAAGGGATTATATATTGTATTAACTTTATTCAATGTCCAATGCCGAATACTGCTGTGTTTCCTCTCTGTCTCACTGCTGAACATGAACTCTGACCCTTCTCGTATTTTCCCTCCCGCTTACCTTCAGTTGATCCATTGATCGATGATTACTCTGGAAGTGGAGGCAAATGTGTGTATTTCATGTATTGGTTATTCCAGTACGCTGACTTGCTAATCTGCCTCTGCTGGATCAGCCTTAGAATGAGCTTTGCATGCCAGCGACGCTAACAGGGAAATCCCAGACAGAGCGTGCTGTAGAATCAGTACTTCTGCTATCTTTGCCCTTGTCCATTTAGCAAAGTGACCTTTGAAGAATTTCAGTTTATTTTTTGAGTAAAGTTGAAAGACTTAGGAATTTCTTACTTTTTCCACTCTTCAGTGTTTCTCCATGTGATTAAATTAAACCCAGAATCTCAGATGGTGAGGACAACAGTGATCGTTAGTGTTCCTAATGCACTGTGCCCTCTTCCAGACACCTTGAACATAATTCTCTCCGTTCTGCCACTGTACCCAAGTGATTAGTTTGCCAAGCACCCATGGTTTCTGCGGTCCCAACTTGGAGCCCCTGCTTTTATTCTAATACTTCTTTTACTTGTCCCTGTAGTTCCTCCCTTCATGGTCTGATTTTTTAATAGAAAAATCACTTTCAGTTAACCTTGTAAACACCAGCCTTTGTATAATTAACATCATTTCTAGTTGGCCAGACTGTCTGTGACGGAGGCACTCGGCACATTAGGTCAGCCCTCCGCTCTGCTTATGCTAAGTTGGTCTTCTCCATATTGTAGGCCTCCGCCTGTTGGATGGTTAGCTAAACATATCCCCTTCTTCTCATAAAGGCACTAAGATTTAAAGACTGAAGCGGCTCAAGTATATGCTTGAAATGAGGCTATTTTATAAAGGATCACACCTGATGAGGAAATAATTGCTTATTTTTATAACGCATAATAGAATTACCTTAAAAGACATGAATAAGATTCACACTGATTTTTTTCCATACAGTTAGGGACATCAGACAATAGGGAAATGCATAGGAGAGCCCAGACATAGTCTGATTTGATGGGTTAGGCCCTGCCGATCCCGGAGTGTTCTCATAACACATGTGACTCTTGGACTGGAACAGCTCTGTCTGAGATTTTCAAAGCTGAATGACACTGGTGTGGAAGAGATGCCTTCTCGTTCCTGCTTTGTCCTCAAAGTTGCTGCTGCCAGCTTGTTGCCAGCCTCCGAGCAGCTGTGGCATTTCCTGAGAAACCATGCATGGCTAAGTTTCCACTCCCTATCTGTGAAGGAAGGCGCCCTGAGTACTTCTTGGCTTCCACTTGGATCTACTCTTAATTCCCTTCAGGGCTTGCATGTGTCCACCAGGCCCCCTAACCCCCTGCCGTCCCGCTCCTTCCCACCTTGCCACTGTCATGCAGTGACTGACTTTGCTCTAGCTCCAGTCCCCCTTTAAACACATGCCTCTGCTTACTTTCCTGTGTTCTGTACTCACAGATGGTGGTTTTCAAACTGTCTTGAAGCAACTGCAGGCTTTAAAGAACTGTCTTTAATTAAATAGTGAAGATGAGTAGATCTAGAGAGAACAAATTATATTTTTTCTATTATTTATATTACCTCATATTATATCATTAACTTTTATGTCAATTTTAAGCAGTGTAGGTTTTCTCAAATTTAAAATGAGCTAACTTAAAAATAGGAATGTACCTTTGGTGTTCATTTGAGAAAGATGACTAAACAAGGAAACTATAAACAAATTAATAAACTTGTTGGTGGATTTTTTAAAAAACAAAACTAAGAGTTTGTTTTGTCTTTTTGAGACAGGGTTTCATTATGCAGTTCAGGATGACCTTGAACTTGCTTTGTAGCCCAGGTTGGCCCTGAACTAGCAGCAATCCTCCTGCCTCAGCCTCCTAAGTGCTGGGATTATAGGCATGTGCCACCACACCTGGCTTAGAGGACAAAACTAAGTTTAAAAGCAAATTTACAGTTCTGTTAGAGACTTTAGCAAGTGAAACTCATTCCTTATAACTCAAATATCATACTAGGAAGCAGGCTTGCCAGTAATCCCAGAGTTGCATTGTTATTTGCTTATATTAGCAAATAATCAGTCTTTTTTTTTTTTTTTCCATAATAGGTGAGTGGAAAGTACACCAAAATGTATCAATTTGTTAATTCTTCTTTCCTATTGAGGCAGGTGTTGAGTTCTGAGTTCTTAATTAGACTTACACAGAATTCCTCTCTCATTTCTACAATTACCTGTCTTTTTAAGACGTATTTTAAAAATCTTGTAGCATGCTGAAATCTTGCTATACAAAGGATAATACTAAGTGCTCTGAGTTTTGTTAACTGTAACGTTTCCTTGGAAATTTTTGGCTGAATTCCGTAAAATACTGGCTCAGGCCAGTATGGATTATTATTGACAAATGATCTTTGTTTTCCCCTTACTGTTACAAACCCCTGGAATTTTAAAGCAGTACAATCTGAAGGCAGTGTAGATGTGGGTCAGTAGAATAGAAGAGTGTCATTTGGTGAGAGAGTGCCAGAGTGCCTTTGAGGCCCTGATCACCGCTACCAGATACAGTGCTAATCCATGTTGGAGGTTTTGAGTTTCTAAATTCAGAATTTATTCTTAACCTTTAGGACAGCAGCCTTAAAAAGACGTGTTTTAGAACTGCCATCTAGAACAGTTACAGCTTGTCTCTGTACTGTAACGTGTCTTTGTCTTGGAGCTGCAATGCTCTCCTCTCTCACACTGGTATTCCTTCCTGTCTTTTTTCCTTCCTCTGCTCCTTTCCCTCTTCTTTTCTGCCTTCCCTTCTTTCTTTGTCTCTCAGATCTGAAAGATTTTCAGAACAATAAACATAGATACTTGCTAGCCTCTGAGAATCAACGCCCTGGCAATTTCTCCACAGCGTCCATGGGGTCCCTTACTTCATCTCCATCTTCCTGCTCACTCAGTAGTCAGGTGGGCCTGACATCTGTGAGCAGCATTCAGGAGCGGATCATGTCTACACCCGGTGGAGAGGAGGCCATCGAGCGTCTGAAGGTAAGCGCCTGCTTAGCCTGGATGCAAAGTCTGTGTGTAGCTCCTCAGACAGAAATAGGACTAAAAGTCACTGAAATTTTGACCTCGTACATGAAGAACTCTTTAACTCATAGAAGTGTTCTGAAAAGGAATGTTCTATTTAGTAAGTTAATTTCTTTTCACTAACATGCTGGACCTGACTGAACAAAGATGGTTACAGAGTAACTGATAAATAGATGCGTACGTTGATTTTGGGGTGGCTTGGTGAACTCACCAAGAGAAGTTGTGCAATTATAAATTTAGTTTTAAATGAAATATTTAGTTAGAAACAGTTTTGTTTGAAGGTAGAATTTCAAATAATCATTGTTATGACATTAGTATATAATTAAAATTAAGCTTGAATGTTTAAGAGGCCATACCAAGTTAATTCAGCCATACCTGAAAATGTATCTTCTGGGAGTTCACAGAAAGCCTTGATGCCCTCTGGTTACGATAGCGGAAGGGCTTTCTTTTCCCTCTGTGCTGCTGGTGCATGTGGGGTCCAAGGCCATGGTGCAGGTCACCCACCCAGGGTCTTCCCAGCTTGTTGCAAGCCGTGCAGACCAGTGATTGAGAGCTCTGCTGAACTCTTCTCCATTAACAGTGAACCTAGCTTGATAATTGAGGATGTCACATGCTTTCAGTTCTGTTTTTTGAGTGAGGCTGATAACAATTTTATAGGAAGAATGGGCTTCCAGTTTTTTGTTTGTTTGTTTTGTTGAGACAGGGTCTCTGTATGCAGTTCAGGCTGGCTTTGAACTCACTTTGTAGCCCAGGCTGGCCTTGAACTCACAATGATCCTCCTGCCTGGGTGTCCAAAGTGCTGGGATTACAGGTGTGTGCCACCATGCCCAGCCAGTTTTTCTTTCTTGATCATCCCACCTTTCCACTAGGCATTTTACTCACTTCAAAAAGAAGGTGCTTCAGAAACAAAAGTAATGATCTTGTTTCTTCCTTCAGAAAGTGAGTGAAGTTCTGAATGCCTAGCAAAGGGAGAGGGAGGGAGAAATCTTTCCACTCAAGATTGCAAGCTCAGGGAAAATTCTGCTGCTGGAAAAATTGACTGAGATTTTTCAAAAGATCTCAGTGGAGCCCTGTGCAGGAAGGCGTCTGCGTTCAGGAACTTTGTCACAAGCAGGTACCAGTGACCGCGTTGCTGTGCAGGGCTCTGTTCAGAGCCGGTGCTGGAACTAGGGGGCTCTGTGAGAAGAAGTGAAACCTTCTGCTGTTTAATATAAAGTGTTCTTTTTCTTTGCAGATTTTAAATCTTATTCTTTGCTTATTAAAAGACTTAGTGCACAGATAAGATTACCCTTTCCTTTGATGGTCATCCTGGTATAAAGGAGAAATAATCTCCCTAAATGCAGGGTGGAATTAACTAGAAATAACGTCACATACTAGGAGTCAAGACTTTTAACTAAGCTTTTTAAGAAGTAGGTCAGCCAGCATCTTCCAAATAGCTTCTAGGGAATAGTGGTGTGGTTATTCAAGGAATCCTCCTTCTACCTCCCTACTTCCCATTAAAGCAGAACAAAATCGTATTATTTTAATCAACAAATAAATCCCTCTGCTTTAATTCTCTTTAAGCCAACATAAATGAACTCTTGCATTTTCCCTAGCTTTATTCTAGAGAGAAAGTGACTTCTGTGCAGTGTTGTGTTGGTTGCAGTGCAGTGGTTCACTGGAGCATAAGCGCCTTAGTTCTGCTCACTGTTTGTGAATGGTGAGAACACTTTGGGCGGAGCTGCCGTCAGGGCTGCGGGGCAGATCACATCTGCATCCACACACAGCAGACATGCGTGAGAATCTCAAGGAACTGGTTCCCAAGGCATGACACTGCCAGGGAGAAATGCTCTCGTGGAAAACAAAAATAGAGAGGGGGAATTCATTTTCCTACCAGTTTGTTAGGAAACTTTGCCTCTCTTCATTTTTGATATAAGATCAGTTGTTAGTATGCTAATTTTACACAGGGTACTCCTCCCACTTCATTCCTTGAATATCCTATTTCCATATGTAACATAAATATCTATCTTGATTCCTCTGTGCTGTGTAACTGCTCATTTTAAGTCACAACTCAGAGTGACTTGCAACATATGTATCCTTGATTTGCTTTCCTGCTTAATAAGGCGGGGTCTTGTTTTGTCTTTGTAGTATGGAGGGATTGAACCCAGGGGTGCTTTATCGTGGAGCTACATCCTCCAGCCCTTAAAGTCCTTTTTAAAAATTTAAATGTAGGCAAAATTTTGGTAAGTTCCCCAGGTACCACTCAAACTTTTGATCCTCTGTGCCTCAACCTCCCCAGGGCTGGGGTTACAGGTGTGCGCCAGCATACCGGCTTCACTGAGGCCTAAATGTGGAGCTGCGGCCACTGTGTGCTGGACCTGCTGTGTACAGTCCAGCATCGAGTCAGCACTGTGAGTGCCGTTGCTTCGGCCCAGCCTACAGATACCCTCAAACACCCACTGCAGATACAGGCAGCGGCAAGCGCTGTGCTAAGCAGCCTTAGGGCCCACTGGGACTCAGTGTGAAGCATCCTGTGTTCAGCTGTCTGATGGCTTCAGGGAATGGCCCACGTAGTAAGTGTTTAACCTCTTTACGCATCAACCTCTAAATTGTAATTTTTTATTTTTTTGCAAACCCAGGGGTTTGCACATGGTAAGCCTGTATTCTACCATAGAGCTGCATCTGGGCTCTTTTAAAATATTCCTTTGAGCCTGATGCAGTGGCGTAGGCTTGTAATCCCAGCAGTTTGGGAGGCTGAGGCAGAAAGATTGCCAATTCCAGCTTCACCCTGGCAATTTAGGAAAACTCAGTCTAAAAATGTAAAAAAGGATGGGATATAGCTCAGTGTGGAGGCCCTGGGTTCACTCCCCAGTACTACAAAAATAAATACATACATAAATAAATTCTGTTTCGAGACAGGATCTCCCTAAACTGCCCAGACTATTCTTGAATTTGTAACCCCTGGCCTCAGCTTCCCAAGTAGCTGGGGTTGCATTTTTACACTACCATGTCCAGCTTTAATCTGCAGTTTTTAAATGAAAAATGTTTTTGATTTGTCCTGCGGATTTCTCTCCCTTCTTAACTGAACCATCAAAAAGAAATTGGTCATGTGTAGTGGGGCTGTATATAATTATTGAATGAATAAATCACAGTATATAGTAAGTTCATCAAGGAATCATGTTTTAGTTCATATATTTATATATGTAATAAACAGTAGGTGACTGGTAAATTGTCACATCAGCGGTTACATGAAATTGTTACTAAATCCATCCATCTATCCTGGTTACTGGGTCCTGTTTAGGGAGGGAACTGTGGAATAGTGAAACCACTGTGAGATGAAAGCAGTTACTTTCTTCTGAACTTTATTCTTTTATAGAAGTTGTCAGAAAAAATATCTTGCATTTGGGGATGTTAGTATTACTTTCTTCCATTTACACACACGTGCACACATACAGACTTGCTATTCAGGTATTTTTATGAAGACTTAAGAGTATTTATATGTCTAGGGCTGACTTAGTTTTAGGCCTAATCTTTATGGTTCTCACAGTATGTATTATTTGAAGATCCTTATTGACTTCTGGGCTGGGAATATAGCTCAGTGGCACAGTGCCTGCCTGGCAAGTACAAAGTCCTGAGTTTGATTCCCAGTACCAAAAAAAATAAAAAGAATTTATTGACTTTTGCCTCATATCCTCTGCTTCTTGCCTTCCCTCCTGGCCATGATACGTAAAATTCAAAGATTCTGCCACTTTAAAGGTGAACTTCTTCTTTAGGAATCGGAGAAGATCATTGCTGAGTTGAATGAAACCTGGGAAGAGAAGCTTCGAAAAACAGAAGCCATCAGAATGGAGAGGTCAGAATGTTAAAATCTGAGAATGTACCTAAGTTTTCTAGGAAATTTGGGTTATTTGTGTGGTAAGACAAGATGAAATAGAAGTTGGGTTATTTGTGTGGTAAGACAAGATGAAATAGAAGTTAAAAACAAAACCTTGCCCGCTAAAGCACAAAAGAGAAACCAGCCTGGCTAGGAACTTGTGGCATGGGATTTATACTGTGATGTAAACCACATATTTAAAGATTCCTGAGGAATCCTCTGCTCAATGGTTACCGTACTGCATGTTGTTGAGGATCCATAAAAATGGAACACATTGGGTGAAACAATTTTTTATTTGCTAAAACTAGGCTGCCTTTGACAAAGCACTCTTCTGACTACTGTCTTTTAGAGTTACCTTTTTAAGAACTTCTTTGCTAAAAGGTATAGTTTAAGTTACAAGAAACCAATTCCTGTCTTTCCCCTTCATAGAAGTTGAGTCAGAAGTGAATTCTACTGTACAGATACAGTAAATACAACAAACAATAAGAATTTGTTTTAGCTGGGTGCTGTGGTGCACACCTGGTTTTCCAACTACCCAAGAGGCTAAGACAGGAAAATCATGAGTTTGAGACCAGCTGGGCAACTTAATGAGATATTGTCTCAAAATAAAAAGGGCTGGGGGTTTAGTTCAGCACCCCTTGGGTTCAGTTCCTCAGCATTGCTCCCTTCCTGCCCACACCTCCCAAAATATTCTTGTTTATTTTAGAGATTTTAAAGCAGGATTTTTGAACCAAGAAGAGGGTGGACGTGGGAAAGAAACCTTGGAGAAAGTCACATTTGTAGACCATACTCTATTTACTCAAGATACCGAGAAAGGTTCTAGAGAAATAGTTCTTCCAAACAGATGCAAATAGGTGTCCCTTTTGCTTTTTCTGTGTTAGTAAAGGTCTTGTTTATGGCTTAGTATCCATCTCCACAACAGAAGAGACAAACAGTGTGGTGGGGAGGGACGTGCTGGGGGTCAGTCCTCCAGCCTTGACTGGGCAGACACTCTGCACCGAGCTCCGTCCCCAGCCCCAGAGAGAGTTCCTGTCAGCGTAAATAAAACTTCAACACAGGAACATAATTGAATTTATTTTAAGTGTGCTGTGTCTCATAAAAATAATTTCTTGTTGATAAAATAAGCACATTATCCCGTATTTGCATTATCCGCTGTAGCTGTGGCTGGTTGTTTTTGCTTTGCTTGCGTTAGTTCCCACCTCACACGAGGCCGGTTGAATTGGCACTCAGGAGCTGATGTTCGCATGCACTTGTTCTCTTCTAGAGAGGCCTTGTTGGCTGAGATGGGCGTGGCCATTCGGGAGGATGGAGGAACGCTGGGAGTTTTCTCACCTAAAAAGGTAGGGAGGCAAGTTGTGAAACTCAACCAAACAAGCACTGTTTGGGGTTAGGGGTGCGGCTAGATGGCAGCCCATTTGCCTGCCATCCAGGAGCCCGTGAGCGCAGTGCCCAAACTGCCCTCCCAAGCCCCCGAAATAGTAACACTTGTTTGATCAGTGGGGCCCTTCGTGTCTTTCAGAGATGGCCTTTTCTCCTCCGCTTTTAGCTTGATACTTGGCTTCATGTCGGATGTTTCTGATTTTATCTTTTGTGTAGTCTTCTAGTACAAGGACAGCCTGTTTCTAAAATACCTGTTGTGTTTACAAAAGAAAAAATCCATGGCAGTAAATCTGCAACCTTTGCCACAATTTGTGCGTACAGTCATCTCATCGTTGCTTTCTCTTAAATTCCCATCCTAACGTAGCACATCTTGCTTCAGTGTGACCACTCTTTCTCGAGAAAGTCTCCAATCCTGTTCTGTAACCTTTTTCAGCCAGTTTCAGCTGTTCAGGTTTGTGTAGAAAAATACTACTTCCATGGTTTGTGTTGTTTACAGGTTTGTACTGAGTAAAACTGTTCTAGTCCTTATCCTTCTAGATTCTGCTATTGTTTTCAAATGATTCCAGTAGTTACTGTCCTACTTATATAATTATAGTAATAGAGTAGTTACGGTTTGGTGCCTTTTAGCTAATTAAAATAGATACTTTCTTTTGAAAAATTGAGTAGCTACTTCGTTATTTTGAATGCTAGAAAACCAATATCAAATCATTTTTCTGTTTATGTACAGTAATAGAACATATATTATTGATGTAGAAAGCATGTATCTCATACCGCTAACAAACGGTTCTTCCTTTCACATGGCCTCAAATAGCTGGTACAGACTTTTAAGCACCTTCATGTGTAGATTCCAGCCATGATTTCTCCTAAGGTGGGAGGAGCAGGGAGTGTTGAATTAGTACTTTGGATACAGTACAGGCTTTTTGTAAGGACTTTTTTCATTAGGGGTTTTTATTATGGTCAGATTTAAAAAAATAAATCCCAATGTGTCATTTTCAGCTGAAAATACTGATTTAAGTGCATTGTAGATACGTATTATAGAACTGGAACAATACTTCATGTTTATATAAAGATCAGTGTTTTTCACAGTTTAATAGTTTTTCTTTCAGTAATACACGTATTTTCTCAGATATATTACAGTTGCACAGATGGTAGGTGTAGGTTTGGTAGAGTGGCTTTGCATACGTCTGAAGGCATTTTATAATGTTCAGTGCTATAAACTGGGAGGGGCTGGGAGGTAGCTCAGTAGCAGAGTGCTTCCCTGCTGTATGTGAGCCCTGGGTTCAGTCTCAGCGTGCACATGCGTGTGCATACACAATTTGGGGGGGGAGATATTTTTAACAACTTGTAAAAGCATTACAATATTCAATATGCATTGTAAGTAACTTGACAGTGTTGTGATATACACAGTATAGAATTCCGTACTGAGATCTTTGCTTCCAAAGCTTCTCTTGCTTCAATTTTGCTCATCTTGCTTTTTAGCTTTCTAGACTCCCTCAGAGAGGAATGTAACATGTCCAAACACGAGATTCTCTTAGACATAGGTCAGGACCCTGCCCAAAGAGGGTTTGACTTTGTCAAATCAGCTGCACCCCGTGCTACAGGGGCAGATGCTAGCGGAGAATCAGGACTTTGTAATTTCGGTTTAACTGTTGGGCAGTTCCATTTCTTTACCCCCTCATCTGACTTCTTTTGTTTTTCCACATTTGCTGGCACTATCTTGAGTAGATTTTGGCCCCAAGACCATGTGACTTATTTTTGGATTCCAGTGGGGTCTTTTCACCAAAAAAGGTTGGTTTTTAAAAAGATTTTAGAAACATTAGAATTAGATGAAGAGTATTTTTAGAAGATATTTATATTACTGGGTATAAGTAATTTTAATATTTAAAAAATTCCTTAAAGACTAATAAACTAAAGTCAATGCCTGGGCCCATGGAAGAACTGTTGAAAATTATAAAGGGAAGTGGCAGGGGGTGTGGGGACATTTTAATAAAAGTAAATGAATAAATCTTTTTTGAGGTTTTTGCCCAGGCATTTACGGAAATTGTAACCCATCCTGAGAACCAGTGTTTTAGTTTTTCCTTTGTGCTTGCTAAGCTTGAATCTTATCAAGAATTGGGTCCTAGTCTGCATCCCAGAACTCGTGTTTTTAAATAGACCGCATTGATACAGTTTGGGAAGGCCTGAAGAGAGTTTTCTCTGCACTGTGGAGTTGTAACTACTCATAAAACCCCTTCTTCAGAGCCGGTGGGAATCTGCAGAGCCTGGGAAGCCGGGCCTCCTGCAGGCCCTGTGGCTGCTGCAGTGCTGCGGCGCCTGGCTCCAAACTGATCATTTCTAATCTGTTTCAGACCCCACATCTTGTTAACCTCAACGAAGACCCGCTGATGTCTGAATGCCTCCTTTATTACATCAAAGATGGAATTACAAGGTATATTAGTTTCTGGTTTTGAGAACTTAATATTTTTCTTTGTCCTAGATGATTAAATAGCTGAAGGGAAATTGTTGAAATGTTTTGGTAACAATTTGCTGTTTCTCCTGCCTGAAACAAACTATCTTCTCTGTTTTTCCAAATCGTGTGTCAAATTATGTGTCAAATTATGTGTCAAAGTGGAACCACTTAAGAGAAGACCCAAAATAAATTTTTTCTTCCTTTTAACAGCTTGTATGAATTCATAAGGGAGACTGACCACATGTGAGAATAGAATTTGCCATCAAAAGCTTCTGATACAAAGAGGCGATACGTTTTTTGTATATACCAAAGGCTCTTCTCGGGGAGAAAGCAGTTCATTGTTTGTGAGTGCTCTTTGTGCCGGAATTTCCCTGGGAAACACTTTCTCTTGTGTTCAGGGTTGGCCAAGCCGATGCTGAGCGGCGCCAGGACATCGTGCTGAGTGGGGCCCACATTAAAGAGGAGCACTGCATCTTCAGGAGTGAGAGGAACAACAGTGGTGAAGGTAAAGTTCCTGGCTGGAGCTTTTCTAGCAACTTTTGCTTCCTATAGTATGAGAAATCCTCAAGACTTGGTATTCCCTGTCTCTGTTTGTGCTTTTTTCTCACATAATCTGTTATCGTAAATGGAGAAACCTGGGCTGCTTATGAATACAGGGGCAGACATAGCTGCTTTACATGAAAATAACGTGGACAAAAGGAGCCCTTTTGTAACTGCCAGGAACTGAGCAGGACATGGGCAGTTAGGATTGGACCGGAATGTTAATCATTTAATAGAAAAAAAGAGAAGAATAAATACTGTGGGTACTGGGCGATTTGAAGAACTTCAAGTCTTAACCCTGTAGAATTTATTTTTATCTAAAAGGAAAGAAAAAAGTCAGTCTTGATTTTTGCCCAGGTTATTAGCCAAACAGCAGCAATCTAATGGTGTCTTGGGACCTGACTTACAGTTCTTCCTTAACCAATCTTCAGTTCCTTTGTTTTCTTAGCATATAATTCTTTTGTAACCAAAATAATGTACTAGCATTTAATCTTCAGCTTCTGGTTATTACTTATGTCCTATACTTAAGGTTTCTGCTGTATTCAGTTTTATTGACTACGCTGTCAGATATTTCTTCTATTCTTCTGCTGAGATTTGTCACATTTATTTAAATGTTTCATCTTGGCCATAGCCCCTGATAGCCTCATACTGGGATTTGTTCTAAGTACCCTAAAAAGGAACTATCTTCCTTACAGAGATAGATGCTTCGGCCCCTTGTGTGGTTGTAGGAATCTATTGTAGTTCCCTTGAGGCTTGATAGGAAACTGCTTCTCTTTATGTCATCCTGGTGGGCTGTGGTGATGACGTAAGTTTGTGTTCCCCAGTTATTGTGACTCTGGAGCCCTGTGAGCGCTCGGAAACCTATGTGAATGGCAAGAGGGTAGCCCAGCCTGTTCAGCTCCGCTCAGGTGAGACTGGGAGGTGTTTGAGGTTTGCAGCAGTGTACATGGGGCTTGTGTGAAATTTTGACTTTTTTAAACAGTGATTTCTTCAGGGCCATGTGGGATAGCATGTGCCTGTAATCCCAGCTACTTTGGAGGCTGAGGCAAGAGGATGTGAGTTTGTGGCCATCTGGGCTGTCTAAAAACTCTGAAAGAATGAAATAATGGGGGAAAGAGTATTTAAAATTGATCAGTCGCCAGGTGTGGTGGCGCACGCCTGTAATCCCAGCACTCGGGAGGCTGAGGCAGGAAGATCGTTGCTAGTTTGAGGCCAACCTTGGCTACAAAGTGAGCTCAAGGCCAGCCTGAACTGCAGAGCAAGATCCTGTCTCAAAAAAAAAAAAAAAATAAATAAAATAGATCAGTCAATGATACCTTACTCCTATTTTTGTTTTGTGCTAGGAAATCGTATCATCATGGGTAAAAACCATGTTTTTCGATTTAACCACCCGGAGCAAGCACGGGCTGAGCGGGAGAAGACTCCTTCTGCTGAGACCCCCTCTGAGCCTGTGGACTGGACATTTGCCCAGAGAGAGCTCCTGGAGAAACAAGGGATCGATATGAAACAGGAGATGGAAAAAAGGTAATGGGCAAAGTAACAAGCAGCCCAGGTGACTCTGTTTTAAACATACCATTTATGAAACAGTGGTGATCTCACAATTCTGTTTTGTTTCTCTTTTTGCTTTTCCTTCCAGGCTACAGGAAATGGAGATCCTTTACAAAAAGGAAAAGGAGGAAGCAGATCTTCTGTTGGAGCAGCAGAGACTGGTAGGAGCCTCCCCTGAGTCTGCTAACATTAGGGAGGGCAGCTGCTCTGGCCCCATCCCAGTTCACAGTTGAGTTTATCAGACTCACTGGTGCTGTACGCCACTCTTTCATTTCCTTAGCAGAGGACTCAACCTCCTGGTAGCTGTAGTCTGAAAAACTATCTGTAGAGCCTCTTATGTCTGAAAGTCACATCTTTGTTTCTATCACAAGTGAGAGTTTTTTTTTGAGGAAGTAGAGTTTTTCTGGTACCTTTGCCTCTTGGTAGTGGTTTTTGAATCTGCATCAGTGGTGGTCCTTTTAATGATAACGACTTTGAATGTTGAATTTGATGGAGTTTGCCTTGGTTTTGTTTCTGATCACTTGATAGTACTAATTCTCTGCTCTTGGGCTGACTTGGGGTTTGTTCTTGTGCTGGGAAGATTTCTTTTTTTTTTTTTTTTTTTAGTTAAACTGTGTCTAAAATGTTGCTGCACAGTTGCATGTGTTAATCCTTTTCTCTCTCCCTGCATGGAGTCTGAATTCTCGGTAGCATGTGTGGTAACAGTGGGAGCAGGAGCCACACACCCACCTCAGGCAGGAGAGGGGAGCTACTGTCCTGTGGGCTGAGAAAGGCTTTGGGATGCAAAGTCAGCTGAGGGTCCCAGCTGTAATGCTAATGGCTTTAGCATTTTATGATGCTAACTGACTTTTCAGGGTTGACAGAAATGGAATCTCACGAATAAGTAAATTGATGTATTAGTAGATTTTCATGTTTAAAAGCAACCAGTTGGTTAACAAAGCCCTGGTGGTAAGAAGTCTTGGGCATTCATTTAATATACCATGGAAACAGTTTAGGAAGTTCTTCATATTTAAAGATTCATGGTCTTTTTTGAAGATAAGGGGGTACTAAAGAGGAAGTTTCTTTCTCGAACATAAATTATAGCATGTAATTAAACAACGCTGCTCTATGCTTTGGAGAAGAAGCTGCTATGACATAATGGGCCAAAAAAGCCAAGGACTTGAGCAAGAAGGGCAGCTCAGCTCTTGAGTGGGCAGTGAGTTTAAACCAGTTAGTTCGGTATCTTGGAAATTACCGTAAAGCCTCCACAAGTATGGACTGTAAAGATAGAGAGCTGGAGACAGATAATGCCAGTGTGACAGGCAGAGTGTCTCCATGAGGCCCCATTGGCATTAGCTTTAATGAAAATAGATTTAGCTACCATATGATTAGGGCTTAAAAGGTGTGACACACGAAGGAGCCTTTTATCTTAGGATGTAGTTTAATCTAATAACATGCCTCTGACGATCTGTGAGAGATGAAACGAGGACAGGTGTAATTAAGCTCTATTATTAACAATAGCGTCTCATATTTGTATAGTGCTTAATAATTTACAAAGAGCTTTAACATCCATTTTATTTGATCCTTAAACAACCCTCCTTGGTAGGTGTGTATGTAAGATTCTGTAGTATCATCCATAGTTTATAGTCAAAGAAACTAAAGGCTAAAA